AAACGGTATATGCCCATGGCAGCAAACTGCAACACTTATGTGACAAACTACGCTCCCTCTAAGATACCAACGAAGATCTCAACAAAAGAACACGGAGGAATAACGTCAGAGTGAGGGGCATACCGGAATCAATCTCTACAGATCTCCTCACTGATACCCTCACCGACGTGTTTCAAAACCTCCTACTGGAGGCTATAGCCGCCGATCTCTTGATGGATCGGGCACACTGAGCACTGAGGACTCCAAGCACCAATGCAGCCACCCCCAGGGACATTGTCCATGCCCGTGGTCGGCCGCTCCTATACCATATATCGCCTCAAGCTACGAGAGCATTGTATCTAAATGATGGAAATGCCATAGCACAATTGTTATAAAATGTTTATGTTAATTTCGCAAAACCATGACAATGCGACATTGTCCAACCGCTGACTTGGCACGACACACCACCTGGTGTCACCAACACAGGGTAACCATGCAGCGACAAAGCAGTACTCACACCCACCTAACACACACGCACCTAACACACAGGAACACACAAACTCAGCGCACACACATCAAGCGCTACGTAAAAGCCACCCCGACACACCAGGACATCAGCATACTGAACCCACACAATAGAGAAGTTACGGCACAGTTGCCATACAATTATAGACATACCCACCCACCAGATAAAAGACCACGCACACGAGGGTCTCCAACTACGAATCAATCAACAGGCACAACGGCCTTACTTTACCGACCACAAACATTTCCCATTGGTCAACAGGCACTTCAAAAGATATTACCTGGCTAACTCGCCGGAACCAAAAACGAAAGGATTCGCAATATTATTGCAAAACTCCTGCCCGCTGAACGACATACAAACCCTCAAAGACCCCTCAGGGACCCCTCTTCCTCATAGGGCACATGGGAACAACCTCACTAACAATATGCTCTATATACACTCCTACCATCCCAGACACCTCATTCTGGCACAAGTTCAAGACCCACCTCACCAGCTTATCAGCCAAACACCTAATCATCGGCGGTGACTTTAACGCGACACAAACACCCGCCAAGGACCGCAGAACATAGACAGGCAGCACACCAGCCCCAACTAGAAACGACAAACTATACACGGAATTCCTAAACGACATACCCCTACTGGACGCCTGGAGAATCCAGCACCCGTCATCTAAAGACTTCACCTTCTACTCCCATACACACAGGTCATACTCACGCATTGACAGCTTCCTTGTCTCCCACGCTGTCCAACTCTGGACCACCCATGCGCACATAGGTAACATTGCGTGGTCCGACCACGCGGAGGTTACACTGACAGTACAAATTCTACTACTGGCACGCCCGTGGCGATGGAGGCTAAACCCGTGGATCCTAAGAGACATGGCAACGGTCCACACCGTGACTGAGAACTTCAAAACCTACTTCGAACTCAACACCACCGAAGACAGAGCACCGACGATGGTCTGGGCGGCTCACAAAGCGACAATCAGAGGCAACCTCATAGCAATAGCCACGGCCCTCAAAAAGCAACGACTTTTGAAACTAATGACACCCTGACAAACTTAACGAGGCTTGAAACACTCCACAAACAAAACCCTTCAGAAAAGCTCCTCATGCAGCTCACGACCACACGGGAGCTCATCAAAAAACTCTCCGCAGCAGACGTGGCAAGAAACCTCATGTGGTCCAAGCAACGATTCTATGAGAAGGGTAACAAAGCAGACTCACTCTTAGCGCGCTGTCTCAAAAAAAGACAAGACAACAAGAAAATCTCGAAAATCAGAACTCGAACCAGGGAGACAACGACAAACCCAGAAAAAATAGCCCACGAATTCCTCCAATACTATACCAACCTATACAACCATACCACATCGACACCCACGGCTGACACAGATCAGACGGAAACCATCTCATCCTTCCTACGGCCCCTCAACCTACCCTCCCTATCCAATAGGACACAAGCCCTGTTGGAAACACCCTTCGAGGCTGAAGAACTTGCGCTGGTCATCAACACACTGAAACCCAGGAAAAGCCCGGGACCAGATGGCTTCACAGCCCTCTACAACAAGACGTTCCAGGCAATATTAATACCACCTCTATGCAAAGCCTTCAATTCGTTCCTGCAGGGACACTCACTCCCCCCCGAAATGCTGGCGGCCGACATATGTCTCCTGCCCAAACCGGGGAAAGAGCACCTCGATCCGGGACACTATCGTCCGATCTCTCTCTTGAATACCGACCTGAAAATCCTTACGAAGGCACTGGCTAACCGCCTCAACCCATACCTCCCAACACTGATCCACCCAGATCAGGTCGGATTCATAAAATAAACCTAACCAAATCAACACTAATGCCAATAGCAATGACTTCCCCACAACTTAACCTGCTCCACCACTCCTTTCCCTTCCGCATCACCACGACTACCCTTACCTATCTGGGCACCACGCTATCTCCAGTACTCAGAGACATCTACGGCCTCAACTACACACCACTACTCACAAGAGCGCACACACCTACAATGATGGGACAAACTGGGGGTATCGTGGCTGGGAAGAGTCACCACCATCAAAATGAATCTCCTTACGAGATTTCTCTACCTCTTCCAGACACTACCCATCCCGATACAGAAAACAGACTTCAATCACCTCCAGGCGGCCATAGACAGATTCATATGGAAGGCCAAGAGACCCAGAATTCGCAGGGCAACGATGTATGTGTAACGGATCGCCTGGCACCCCGACTGGGTACCTCCGTTAAAGGATGCTCCTAGCGCTTCCTGAGGACTACAAGCACTGCAGCAGACACCACAACCACCAAACCGGAGAAGCATATGAATCCTCTCAAGCATATGAATGCTGTAGACAGTTGAATAGGAACCATACGAATAGGTTTACTCTCCTAGCAGTCAAACTGGAACAGCATACAATAAATCCTTCCCCCAATAATGAGACGACACTTCACTTTGAGGGTTAAAACAGGAACTCTCTGTACTGTCACATACAGTCTCTTTTATTCCCAATCCACAAACATAGTACAGCCCACAGGGCGTTACAAAACAACCAATCAATCCGTACAATACACCCAGACACTCCCACACAAAATCCTCCCCTCTGCAGGTGATATGATTACTGAACACAATGGGTAATCTCATTATCACCGGCAGAGGAATACAGTTTTTACACAATATTTATAACTTCTAAAATATACATGTCACAAACATAAAACATACATTTTCATAATCAATCCATTCAGGGGAACAACATATTAAAAATGGCACGAATCAGACCAGGGGTTCAAAAGTTAAGGGAAAGTCCTTTGTGACTAAATGAAGCATGGCTTTCTGGCCCAAACCAGTTTCAGAGTCTTCTATCCTGGAGAGTAATTCAATTATCTCCCAGGACAGACACAAGACTCCATTAAGCACATGGTTGCAAAAAGACACAAAGACACTTTAAAATACATAAAGTCACATTTACACATAACACACAGACATTTCACATATCCCCAGATAGCTGGGATCTGAGTGCACATTATTAGATGAATGGCACTCAGATCACACAAATAAGGCTTTCTGTAGGGGAAATAAACAGTTTAACCTGCAGGGCCATAGTCCAAAGGGAGCAGGCGAGCAACCAGGCTTCTCCAGTTCAAAGTGGCGAGGTTGGTTTCGCCACACTTCTCCCCTTTACCAACTAGACTAACAGGGTATCTGACCTCCTGCCGGTCAGTGCCCTGGTTAGTCCAGCAACCCACCCACAAAACAGAAACAGCGGTACAGCCCACCCACAATAACTGGTTACTACACCTGGGTAGAGGAGAACTTTGTCCATGTCCAGGTGCCTCACCACGACTGTTTGGGCAACTGTTAGGCTGCCTTGGTGGGTTGCTGAGTGGGCAGAGACCAGCGGTACTCTGCCCTGATGCCAGTGCTACCACGGAAGTAGCCTGGTGGGAGCCTGGTTGTGGGAGGGAGGGACCGACTGTCTCCCCTCTGGATACACCGCTCTGTGGCTGGGGAACAGGACCGACTGTCCCTACCCCTTGTGCTGTAAGTGCAGAGACTACAGTCCCATCTGCACTGTTGGGGGGTGTAACATCTCCCCTTGCTGGGTTAGGCTGCCGCTGGAGAGAGGGGGTAACAAGCTCCTCTCTCTGAACTGTAAACTGCCGCTGGGGAGAGGGGGTATCAGGCTCCTCTCCCTGACACTCTCTCTGCTGGTGGAGAGGGGGACCAGCTGTCTCCCCTTTCATTATTTTGCCCTGTGGTTGGGGTGCGAGACTGACGGTCTCTGCTCCCTGCAGGACACTCTGCCGCTGGGGAGGAAGGACGGCACCTTCAGCTCCCTGGGGTACACACTGCCGCTGGGGAGGAAGGACGGCACCTTCAGCTCCCTGGGGTACACACTGCAGCTGGGGAGGAAGGACTGCACCTTCAGCTCCCTGGGGTACACACTGCCGCTGGGGAGGAAGGACTGCACCTTCAGCTCCCTGGGATACACACTGCCGCTGGGGAGGAAGGACGACACCTTTGGCTTCCTGGGATACACACTGCTGCTGGGGAGGAAGGAAGGCACCTTCTGCTCCCTGGGGTACACACTGCCGCTGGGGAGAGGGGATATCAAGCTCCTCTCCCTGACACTCTCTCTGCTGTTGGAGGGGGAGACCGACTGTCTCCCCTTTCAATAATTTGTCCTGTTGCTGGGGAGAGGTGATAACCGGTTCCTCTCCCAGGAACACTCTCTGCTGTTGGAGAGGGGGACCAACTGTCTCCCCTTTTAATATATTGCCCTGCTGCTGGGGAGCGAGACCGACTGTCTCCGCTTCCTGCAGGACACACTGCCGCTGGGGAGGAAGTACAGCACCTTCAGCTCCCTGGGATACATACTGCCACTGGGGATCTGGGCTGACTGCCCAGCATCCCTGTAGGGCCTGTAGAGAGACCTCGGTCCCATCCCCACCTGCCAGCTGGGTGTCTTCCCAGGACAAGTCAATAAGGTCTTCCATCTCTGGGGCTGGTTGGGACATATGTGGTACAGTACCAAAGTCTCCTGATAACAGGCTTGGTTGCTGGGGAGGAGGAACTAAACTCAATGCTTCCGGTGGTATACAGTCAATAAGCCCCATCATGTCAAAGACAGGTGGCGTTATACGTTGGAATAGGCAAACATAATCCTGTTCTAGTTCCCACTCTCGGTTGGCAAGAAAAGATAGATCTGGCTGAATGGCATCGATCTCTGTAAGGTCCCAGTTGTCTGCCCGCTCAGCTCGGATGGACCAAAAGCGAGCAATGTCGGTGTCTCTGAACCAGAGACTAGTTTCAATAGTATCCCACAACAAACCAGGGCCGTCGTAGTCTTCCCCCTCAATACACTTGTACTCAATCAGCCATGGGTAGAGGTGGTAAACATGCCACCGCAGGGCCCGATAGGAATCATCCAGCCACACCTCAGTCTCAACTAGCGTCTCCAGTTCGCTTACACATTCCTCTGAGGGCTGGTTTCCCAATAACGGCATCCGCAGCTCTAGTTGTTCTGCTTGGCGCTGGTTAGTGGTCAGGATTTCCTCGCACCGGAAGGGTCAAATTTCGTCGATGTCCTCCTTCCAGAGATCGGTACGAAGCGCCACCCTCCACTCTGTCTCTCTTTCCTCTGGGATAGGATACTCCATACTGCGCATCACATCCTGTAGTCGCTGCTGGAGCCTGGCGTCAAAGTGAGATATTGCACGGCCTTCCATCTCTGAAGTAGTGCTGGTTTTCCCAAATCTTTATGTAGACAGGGACGCTGTATGAACACTAGCGTCGCCTTCAATTTGTAAATCCACGAACTGTGTCTCTGAGCTGCTTTACCTCGCACTAGGATGCCATCCCACCGCTTGCCACCAATGTAACGGATCGCCTGGCACCCCGACTGGGTACCTCCGTTAAAGGATGCTCCTAGCGCTTCCTGAGGACTACAAGCACTGCAGCAGACACCACAACCACCGAACCGGAGAAGCATATGAATCCTCTCAAGCATATGAATGCTGTAGACAGTTGAATAGGAACCATACGAATAGGTTTACTCTCCTAGCAGTCAAACTGGAACAGCATACAATAAATCCTTCCCCCAATAATGAGAAGACACTTCACTTTGAGGGTTAAGCAGGAACTCTCTGTACTGTCACATACAGTCTCTTTTATTCCCAATCCACATACATAGTACAGCCCACAGGGCGTTACAAAACAACCAATCAATCCGTACAATACACCCAGACACTCCCACACAAACTCCTCCCCTCTGCCTGTGATATGATTACTGAACACAATGGGTAATCTCATTATCACCGGCAGAGGAATACAGTTTTTACACAATATTTATAACTTCTAAAATATACATGTCACAAACATAAAACATACATTTTCATAATCAATCCATTCAGGGGAACAACATATAAAAAAATGGCACGAATCAGACCAGGGGTTCAAAAGTTAAGGGAAAGTCCTTTGTGACTAAATGAAGCATGGCTTTCCGGCCCAAACCAGTTTCAGAGTCTTCTATCCTCGAGAGTAATTCAATTATCTCCCAGGACAGACACAAGACTCCATTAAGCACATGGTTGCAAAAAGACACAAAGACAGTAAAACACTTTAAAATACATAAAGTCACATTTACACATAACACACAGACATTTCACATATCCCCAGATAGCTGGGATCTGAGTGCACATTATTAGATGAATGGCACTCAGATCACACAAATAAGGCTTTCTGTAGGGGAAATAAACAGTTTAACCTGCAGGGCCATAGTCCAAAGGGAGCAGGCGAGCAACCAGGCTTCTCCAGTTCACAGTGGCGAGGTTGGTTTCGCCACAGTATGTCCCCAGACTCAGGGGCGGACTGGGAATGCCCAACTTCCAGCAATATTATAATGCGGCCCAACTGGCTCATATCCAACAATGGCACGCACCTCCAGGCACCAAAAGATGGGTGGACCTGGAGCACGACATCATGGGCTGGGACCAGCCATCTTCATATATGTGGGTGCCTCGTACACACCAACCACTCTCGCCGCCCACCTCCCCGGTAATCACCCAAACTCAACCCCAGATATGACCTATCCTCCTTCCTCTCCCCGGTAACACCAATATAGGTGCATATAAACTCTTCCCCCCAGGTATGACAGCGAAGCACTTTCTCGCATTCGGCCAGAGAGACATATCAAGGCTAGTTCACCTATACCGCCAGGGAGAGATCTTCAAATACAACGAACTCCCAAACGCAGAAACTTTGACCACAGCAGACCACTTCCGGTATATACAACTTAGAACAGCCAATGATCAAACAAGCAGGCACATCACCCCTGACGACATTCGAGAAACAGTGCTTCGACGCACCCCTGCAACCAGGCCAAATCTCCGTCATCTACAACACCCTGACAACCCACGCCTCCCAAGTCAACCTCACCTACATCGCAGCATGGGAACGAGACCTGGAACCACCGGATGACCCAAGCGACTGGGCCGAAATATGGAAAGCAACGAACTGCCTGACTGTGTGTGTTACACATAAGGAGCAGGCATACAAGACAATGTTCCGCTGGTACTTGACACCGCACAGACTCTACAAAATGGGTCAAAAACCCGATGATGGGTGCTGGAAACTATGCGGCGACATCGGCTCCTACCTACATTGCTGGTGGAACTGTCCCAAACTCAAGCCGCTCTGGGGTGACATGAGCGACCTCATCGAAACAATCCTAGACAAGCCAATCACCGCGCAACCATGGACCATGCTACTCAGCAAACCGCTGGACTCATTAACCAGGAGCGAAAACAAATTAACCACCCGGATCAACCTAGCGATGCGACGAGCAATAGCGGAACTGTGGGCTGACCAAATAATCCCCAAACTCTCAACCATAATCAGCAAAATCAAAGAAACCCACGACCTGGACGAACTAACAGCACAAATACACGACACGCACAAAGCGTTCCACCAAACCTGGGACCCAAGGGACACGAACCACGTGAAACTGGACAAGACTTTAACAAGCTAACAACCTCCAGTCAACGCCACCACACCCCCGACATCACCCCAATCAGGACAGACCCAGCACACGAACGTCGCCGCTAACAACACAGCCACAGACTACACAGCACAGAAACTGCGCAAGGGCGCCCCCCTCCTTTTCCCCTTTCTTCTCTTCCCTCCTTCTTTTCTCTCCCACCTTTCCCCTTTTTTTTTCTCACCTTGCGGGCGTGGGCCGGGAGCAAGTCCATACCCAACACCACTCACGCAATCCCCCCTCGCCAACGGGACATATACTCCCGCCATGCCCTCCCCATAAGATGAACCAAAACACATGAACCCACACCCCCCACTCACCTCCCCCCCCCCACTCACCTTACCCATAGGCTCACAGGGAACACTCGCCCAACACCACCCCCCCACTGCATACACACAATACACCACACAGCCAGGAACTTCCACAGGGCACGGGCTCTTCGGACACCAATGTACCAACGGGGCCTCCACCCCTCGGAGGGCAACTGCTCAATACACATCTGAAATATATGGCACACCCGAGAGCCCCGAGCACCGGAACAAATGGAAAAACAACACACACAACAAGGTTGAGAAACGCTGTAAAAGGACTGTAATGTAATGTTGTGCAAAAGTGTTTGTATATGCTAACCCCCTCACCCCCCTTCCTTTCTTTTCACGTTTCTGTATCCCTCACTCTTGCTTACCACAAACTACATATTGAAAACAAAATAAAGAATTTATAATAAAGTCCTGGAACATGGCCAGAGAATTGCACAACCCGAAGGGCATCACAAGGTACTCATGATTTTCCTTAATCCTTACCAAATTGTATGCACTCCTGAGGTCAAGTTTAGTAAAGACTTTAGCACCCTGGAGTCTGTCAAACAAATCGGAAATGAGGGGAATTGGATGGCCATTTTTAATGGTGATTTTGTTTAATGCCCTCTAGTCAATGCATGGACGTAACTCACCATCTATTTTAGATACAAAAAAGAACCCTGCAGGGCAGAGCTGAACCGCCAAGCTGATCAGTCGCACGTCTGTTGATATCCTGATATCTATGGCCTTAGGAGATGACTAATAACGCTTTATGAGCTGCAACCTGTGTTATACTGTGCAAAAGGCTACCGGGGAGGAAGCTGAATGACCCAACTACCGAAACTCTGGAGCTCCGGTCACCTTTGAGGCGAGGTGGATGGCCTTACCTTTCTGCCACTGGCTGATCCTCGGCACGTCGGTGACAACAACTGCGGGACCTGTTCCCCCCCCCTTTGGACCAGCGGGGTTATCCCGGTCCCCACTATCTGCTCCCCACTGTCTGCTCCCCTTACTTCCGACATCCACAGACGGCAGCCACTGTGTGGGCTCGGACCGCCACGCTTCCCCTCAAAGTGGCAGATGGACCTTCCACACCAGAACAAAACAGGCTACCATCTGAACCAGCCTTGCTTACTGGTTGGAACAATGCTTGGATGTGCTTTTTAACCGCTTCTGGACACAACTGGAAGCATGAGGCTGCACGGGCACGGTGCTGGGAGGGAACACAAGGAGGAGATGAGCATGTAGCGCAGGTACCCCCTTCGGGCGCAAGTACCCGATCAGCTACAGTTACACACAGACAAGGCCCACCTGGGCCAAGGGCCAAAAGGGGAAATCACCCACTGCATTGGCCATGAAGGCAGAAGACCCTTTGCTGCAGGTGGCACCAGAACACCTGGGGCTTGTGTCACATCCCATCTGGGAAGGACTTGGACTCTGCCCCGAGCCCCCGAGTCCGTGGTCGCAAAGTGCAGGCCCTCGGCATGGTCTGGGGCTGGATGGATACCACACAGTGCCCTTGCCTGGTACTCCCTCAGGGTTACACCTGCCCATTTCTGAGTCTCTGTGTGGGGTGAGCATCCTACCCTTGGTCCAGAACTGATAATATGTTGCCAGCCAATAACACTGCCTACCGCCATTATCCTACATGTCTATTGATTTTTATTTATTTTTTTCCTTAAACACAGCCTACCAATACCTACTCTGTCAATTGTGTGGTGAAGTGCAATTGGGTGGGCTCCTGCAGCGCATTCTACCAGCGTTGGGGTCTGCGCACCTTGTTTCTATCGGCCCTTAGGCCCACACGAGGCAGCAGCCGTAAAAGCTTTAAGTTTGTAAAGTGTTCTGTCGGTGGGCACCAGTGGTATATATTACTGTTACTATAATTACTGATTCATCTTGTTACTCAACTCTTTACTCCTGTGACATGTTAGAAAGTTGAAGCCTGTCTATAATCTGCATATTGAGCTTACCTACGCAAACCTGCACGTATGCATGTCCCCTTCATCTTGTCACCCAACTTTTCGTTAAACAACATAAAAACAAAAATGAGACATTATTATCCAGGAAATGTAAATCATCAATGTTTACGCTGTATTAACCCTATATTGTATACCACTCGTACATTTCCCTTTCTTTATTCTGTAACCTATCTTGTATGCCTTAATAAAAAAGATTAATAAAAAAAGAACCCCGCACCAGCAGGCGAGGATTATTTACGGATATGGCCCTTACTTAGAGAGTCTTTGATATACTTCTCCATTATTCTACTCTCCTGTGGAGTATATGGA